TTAAATTCTTAAATCTCCAAATCCCCAAATCTCCAAATTCCCAACTCTCCACATTCCCAACTCTCCAAATCCCCAAATTACCAAATTCCCAAATCTCCAAATTCCCAACTCTCCAAATCCCCAAATTACCAAATTCCTAAATCTCCAAATTCCCAAATCCCCAAATTTTGAAATCTCCAAATCCCAAAAACCCCAAATTCCCAACCCTCCAAATCCCCAAATCCTCAAATCCCCAAATCCCAAAACCCACAAATCTGCTCCCCAACCTCCCCTAAACATCCCCAAAATCCGCGAAAATCCCCAAATTCCCAAATCAGTTCCCCCGAATCCTTAAATATATAATTACACACGCTCGCAACGGTAGTTTCGTCGGTAATTTTCGTCGATCGTATTTCGGGATTAGAGCGCTCGCGAGCGGTCGTTAGGTTCGCCAGTGTGCATAGTCCTCGTTCGACATTACGAGATAATTAAAATCGAATTTCAGTCGGCCTGGGTTGTACACGCAGTCGAGCATGATTATCGAAATTGGCCAAGTTCGTTCTAGCTTAGGCGCATCTCTGAATACCCGTGGAATTATGTGTCAAAATTTATTGGCGAACCGAAATCCATGAATCCCGCCATTTTCTATCCCCTCGCAGACGGCCGACAGCAACAGTACCATTCAAAATGGTCGTTTCACTTTGTACATTGATATTTTGTTAATTACTCGATTCGTGTGTCAGAAATCTCGCTGTTTCTGTCACCGTTGCCATTTTTGTTTACCGTTTCACATTTGATTGGGGATATTTTGTAATAAATCGTGTGTGGTCGATTTGCAAGGATATTATCGAGCAGATATATATTTTTGGGGCATTCATTTATTTTTAATAGATATATCATTATTAAATTTATTATTTTTTGAATTATTTAATGAATTTTCAAGTTTTCCTTTTATTATATTGCAATATTCGAAATCTCCAATTCCCACATCTCCAAATTCTCAAATTTTCCTCTTCCTATATTACAAATTCCTAAATTTCCAAATTCTCAAATTTCCATCTTCCTATATTGCAAATTCCTAAATCCCCAATTCCCACATTCCCAAATTCTCAAATTTTCCTCTTCCTATATTGCAAATTCCTAAATCTCCAAATTCTCAAATTTCCCTCTTCCTATATTGCAAATTCCTAAATTTCCAAATTCTCAAATTTCCCTCTTCGTATATTGCAAATTCCTAAATCCCCAATTACCACATTTCCAAATTCTCAAATTTTCCTCTTCCTATATTGCAAATTCCTAAATCTCCAAATTCCCAAATTTCCCTCTTCCGATATTGCAAATTCCTAAATCCCCAATTCCCACATTCCCAAATTCTCAAATTTTCCTCTTCCTATATTGCAAATTCCTAAATCCCCAATTCCCACATTCCCAAATTCTCAAATTTTCCTCTTCCTATATTGCAAATTCCTAAAT